ATTTCTTGCCTGGGGTTTTGATTAAATTTAATTATGATAATTTGATTTAGAAATGTATTTAAATGTTTATGGGTTATACGTATGCCTAATATAGGGTTTTCTTGACTGGTATGTATAGTATCACCGTCAGAGTCGTCTTTGTCATTTGAGTCAAATTCTGCAAGTACAGATTGGATGTCTTGGTCAGTTATTATTGTTAGAGATATTTATTTATTGTTTTATTATGTTATCGTTACTAGTTTTAAATCACCCAGTATATTAAAAAAGATATTTATGACACAGTGACTGATTAGTTTTGTAATTTGTCTGAATAAAAGTCATTTATCAGACACAACATTTTTATTTAAAAGACTCTGCTAAACCAACAAAACTAACAGGTTATGAGCCCAGGACACCTATAACCAGCAGAAGAGACGGCGTAATATGGACGATCTGAAGATTGAAAAGTTAAATTCAGAGAACTATCGATATTGGTCGATGCGAGCCCAAGGTATATTAGAAATAAAGAGCCTATGGACAGCGATTGATCCAGGATTTACTGAAACTGAAATAACAGCTGCCGAAAATAAGAAAAAGGATCACAGTGCAAAATCACTTTTATATTTACTACTAAATAACGACAGTTTAGACGATATTATGCAATGCAAGACAGCGAAAGAAATTTGGGAAACATTACAAAAGATTCATACAAAATACTATACATGGCACGGATTGCTACTTCTCCAAGAATTTGTAAACACCAAAAAGAAATCAGACGAAAGTATTAATGAATATTTAACCCGAAGAAATGGATTGTACCATAAAGTAAAGAATGCCGGTTACGAATTTCTTGAGAAGATACAAGCAGGATTTGCCGTTCTAGGACTACCAGGAAAGTATGAATATTTGGCAAGAAATTTGAGAGCAGATGAAAATGATTTAAATTTAAGTACACTAAAATCAAAGTTATTAGAAGAAGAAAGGCGCCTAGGAAGTGATTCTAAAGAAGTCGACGTAAAAGTACTGGCAATTGAAAATAGAAGCATAAGAAATTTCACTAAAAAAGGAAAATATTTTAAGAACACCCATAATCAGACGACTACCCCATTTTTAAATTCATATCGATACGGAGCAGAGAATAGAAATAATAATCATTGTCCAGTTGAGTATATGAAGTGCTACAGGTGTCTTGAATTTGGACACATCGGCAGAAATTGTCCTATATCCCAAAAGAAAGATGAACAAAAGGGAGCAAACTTGGCAGAAAATACACAGCCTAATGATGAATCAGATCAGGGTCCTTCAAATTTTGCATTCAGTGCATTGTATGGCTTAAATACAAAGAAAGAACATTTTGCATGTTTAATAAATCAAAAAACAGGCGCAAATATATGGATTTTAGATAGTGGATCAACTGATCACATGACTTCAAATAAAGAAAAATTTATAAATTTTATAAATTTAAACAGTAAAGTTGAAGTTGCTGGAGGTGGAATATTATTATCAAGTGGCTATGGTGACATTAAGATAAACTTAATAAAGGAAAACGGAGGAACAGAAATAACGCTAAAGAGGGTACTGTATGTTCCTGATTTAAAAACAAATTTACTGTCCTTAAGTTTAGCAAGTGAAAGTGGTTTAAAAGTAATATTCTATTGGAAAACAGCAAAAATTATAACCAAAAATGGAACATTAATAGCAAAATCAACCAAAATAGGAGGGATGCATTGTTTGAAAGAAGATGAAAGAAATATAGAAACGCGACAATCAGCAAATAAAGCAGTGACGAAAAATAGTATGTTATGGCATAGACGTTTAGGCCACTTAAATATGCCAAGTTTACATAAACTAATGGAATCAAGTGACGCAGATATAGAAGATAATGAAGGTATAATCAAGGAAAACTGTTCAATTTGTTACCAAGGAAAAATGAAAAGGAACTCCTTTCCAACTAAAAGTATGAATAGGGCAATATCGCCATTAGAGTTGATACACTCAGACGTTGTCGGGCCGATTTCACTACTCTCTAATGGAGGGAATAAGTACATTGTTACTTTTACAGATGATTACTCGAGATATTGCGAAATAGGCTTCATGAAGAAGAAAAGTGAAGTGCTAGAAAAATTTATAAAGTTTAGACGAAGAGTAGAAAATGTACATAATAGGAAAATAGTAAGTTTAAGATCGGATAATGGAGGTGAATACTGTAGTACGCAATTTAAAGATTATTTAAAAGAAAATGGGATAACTCATCAGCTCACCATACCAGGTACACCGCAGCAGAACGGAGTAGCGGAGAGAATAAATCAAACATTATTCGACGCTGCAAGATGCATGCTAATCTAATCTGGTGTTCCACAAAAATTTTGGGCAGAAACATTAGCTACAGCGTGTCATATAAGAAATAGAAGTCCAACCGTTACGAATCAAGGTATCAGTCCTATTGAAAAGTGGAAAAAGGGGGTTAAATTTGATTTATCATATTTACGAGTATTTGGTTGCCGAGTATGGTTTGGAAACAAAAAGAAAATATCAAAATTTAGTCCGAAAGCGATAGCAGGCATATTTATAGGATATGAT